ATATATATATATATGTATATATATTATATTAATTTTATAAATATATTATATATTTATTTTATATATTTAATTTATAAATAATTTTAAATTAATTTATTTATATAATTAGAAATTAAATAATTTATAATTATATAAAGATTAAAACTTTATATATTATATAAATATAAAATTAAAGTTTTACATATATATCAAAATCCAAACTTGATTATCATAACATGAATCACAAAAAAGTTATTTTCTTGCAAAAATACCAGAATTCAGAGCAAAGTAATTAATTCCCCCATTCTCATTCCAAACACTTAGAGCTTGGCAAAGCCTGTCTCCTTCAAGCTCTCTATAACTTCTTTAAGGCTCTCCTCAAATGGCATGCAGCTGATACCCAATCCCTTCACCTTCTCCTTCGACATGATAAGTTGGGATAAAGGGTTCATCATCTGTGCCTTTCTTAGGAATTTGAATGGAAGGACATAGTTCTTTGATGAGCATTGCGAGCTGAGAGAAGTGAAGGACTCTTTCAACTAAACAATAGTGTCCACTTGCGAAAGGATTTTCAAATGCTAGAATATGTGCTTCAACAACGTCTTTTACATCAACCCATCCGAATGTTACGTTGGAGAACATACTACTTACATTAATTAATTTTAGTACTGCTTTATTGCTTGTATTATGTGTTGGCTGAAGAAGGGGGTCAACGACCGTCGCAGGATTTATCGTAACAAAATCAATATCATGACCCTTTGTAAACTTCCAAGCAGTTTACAAAGAAGGGGTTCAATAAATCAAAATCATGACCCTAAAAAATAAATCTAAACCCTAAATCTAAAGAAGGGGGTCAATAACATGCCAAAAATTTTTTTCCTTGCATAAATCTGGGGTTTAGGGTTGTTTAGGGTTTAGGGTTTAGGGTTTATTAGGGTTTAGGGTTTAGGGGTTTAGGGTTTAGGGTTTAGGGTTGTTTAGAGTTTAGGGTTTAGGGTTTAGGGTTTAGGGTTGTTTAGGGTTTAAGGTTATTTAGGGTTTAGGGTTTTTGCTTAAGACAAGTGAACGGATTTTAAAACTAGCTAATCAACGAACTAAAAGTTCAAACTAGTATTTAGATTTTCATATAAAAAATTAAATAAATAATTTAACAAATCAGATAAGAAAATAAACTAACCTAACCTACATGATATCATGTTGTGTTTATAATAAATATATTCGCACAAGAATTAATTCTGAGATAGAGAAGAAACATGCAGACAAGAGCAAAAAAATATGAAAGAACTTGTACTATCAATAACTCATAATACAAAATCTTTCATCAATTGATGTTGTAATATATTGATATTAAAATTATTATATAAATAATATATGTAATATATTGTTATATAAAAAATTATATAATTTTTTTTTCGAGCCATTTCGAGCCTAACACGAGCAAACAAACTGTTGTTCGTGTTCAGCTCGTTAGACTTAACGAACGAGCCGAACACGAGCTGCTTAACGAGCCGAACATGAGCTGCTCACGAACAATGAGCCAAATTGACAGCCCCATTCTTAATCGAGATGAGTTTGAGTTGTTCATCGAGTGCATTGGTTCATTTAAAACCCCAGTTGTGTGTAAATTTTAAAGTTTAGGTGTTAGATATATAAATGAAGGAGAATTGTGTGGTATGTATGTAAATTCCTCTTTATTGAAAATGTTTATTTATTCGTGTGTTTGTGTGTTTACGAAGAAACATGTTCGAAATCTCTGAAATGAATTGGGTTTATTTATGATTTCAAAATAATTTCTTGGCAGGCTGTGCTGCTCTGCTCCTGCGTCTTAGCTTTTGCTTTGAACTACAGCATATTTTTGAACACAACTCTGAATTCTGCTGTGACACAAACTATCTGCGGTAATCTAAAGGTGCTAACTTCTCTACACTTTTTGGGTGCCTCCTGCATGTTTTATGGCTTTTTTCTGGAAAATTTACATACTTAACACACAATTCTTAAGTATTTACATATCTACTACCAAAAGTTTGATATATACACATAAAACATTGGTGTCATAACTCTATGCATGAAGAGGTGTATTTAAATAATAGTGGTATTTTTGATGTGTTGTTGATGTTAAGTTTTGAGTGTTAACAATGTAAATAAGAAGGTTTAGGTATTAGATTTGTATATAGATAAGAATTGTAGGATAAGTATGTAAATGCCCCTCTTTTTTTCTTATTTTGGCTTAATGTTGTCTTGTTGCAGGATCTGCTTACTATTGGACTGGGCTGGGTATTGTTTGGAGGTCTCCCTTTTGATTTGGTGAGTTCTAAGTTAAGCATTGAATTTACTTGGGAGCTTCCAGGGTCCATTTGGAATAACTTTTTATTCGTTCTACTCTTCAAATCAAACGGCTATTACATTTTTATTTGGCTATTATTTTTTTGTTGCTTTTTAAAAAAGGTATTTCTCTATAGTAGCTCTTGGGGCTGTCAAAACGGCTCATTGTTCGCGAACAGCTCGTGTTCGGCTCGTTCTTTAAGTTAACGAGCCGAACACGAAAAACACAAACAAATATTTGTTCGTTCGTGTTCGGCTCGTTTTGGCTCGAAATACTACTAATCAATTTTATATATATCTTTGATGAGTAGTATTTTTAAAAAATTTAATTGACTACATGACTACAAAGATTTATAATCAATTAAAAGTATTAAAGAAGAAAATATGATAAAAATTATTAATTTAGATTCAAATGATGTTTTAAATCTTGCTCCAATCCTTAATATTTTATGGCTATGTGATTAGGTTGTCAAAATGACTATTTGTTCTTGAATGATTCGTGTTCGGCTCGCTAAGCAAATAAGCCGAACACGAACACACTTTTTGAGCTCGAAATATAAACGAGCCGAACACGAGCTGAGTTCGGCTCGTTTACACCCCTAGTAGCTCTATAATTATTCTTGGAAGATTTACAAACATACAGCTCAATTCTTATGTATTTACATATCTAACTCCTAAACTTGAATTTTTTACTTATATGCTATCTTACGCATGATAAAGCCTATTTTTTAGTTTTTTTTAGGTTAAAATAGTGATACTTTTGGGGTGGTATAAATGTAACAAGCAAAGTTTAGCTGTCAGATATGTAAATACATAGAACTTGGGTTAATGATACCAAAGTGTTATAAACCTTAAATATCAAATTTTAGGGGATATGCATATAAATTTCTCTAAATATAATTGTAAAGAAAATTGTTCCAAACGGGACCCTCTGCTTGTTCTGAAAATAATGATTTGATTTTGATAAAGCTTTAGGCTTTAGTTGCTTTTGCTATTTTAATCTCTTGTGGCTTATAACTTTGATTTTATTTATTTTTATATTTTTACAGCTTAATGTGATAGGCCAAGCTCTTGGTTTTGTGGGCTCTGGTCTGTATGCTTACCTCAAAATCAAAGGGAAGTAGCTTTATTTTTGACGTAGAAACTAAGCTCAAAAAAGTATTTCCAAATGCATTTCTTGTAGTTCTGATTCTATCAATATATTTTGAAGAGTTGCTGCGAGAAGATTGTTGTGCAAATATTTTAGGGCATTTACAGGAGAAAAATTTGCGTACGTGAGACGTCCGCAGAGCTGCGTATGTCATAGGTTATTTAGAGGGTATTGGAAGGTTATAGGTAGGTTGCACCTCATGTAACATCCCAATACCCTCTGAATAACCTTCGACGTACGCAGCTCTGTGCACGTCTTACGTACGTAAATTTTTCTCCATTTACAGACATGCCACCCATTCTTATATAATACAAATATTGCACGAGTATTTTAATTTTGACATTTACACCAACCAAATCTTATATATCACAAAAAATCACTTTTTACTTTAAAAAAGTGATTTCTTCTAGGTATGTGTCACATATGTAAAAAAATTGAAGTCTAGGTGTTAGATATATAAATACATAAGTATCCAGTGGTCTTCATGCAAGTCTTTTTCACAAGAAAAAAAATTATACTTCAAATTTTTATTTTATTTTCTCAGCTTTGAAGCTTGTATGATAGTTGGATTTCTTATATTTTTGTTTTTAAATTATTGAATTTAAATTTGTAATTAATTGTTCAGTTGTTTGTACCACTCACTTATTTAGTTGATGATCATTTAAAACGTATGAAAAAAAAAGAAATAATTTATATTTGTGTTTAACAAATGTATAAAGCATAGTTTATGTATCTTATAATTTGAACATAAATATGGTTTTATAAAATAAGGGGCTGTCACCTATATATCACACAATTCTTAAGCATTTACATATCTAAATGTTTACATGGTTATTGCTCAATTTTTTAATATTTCATCAAAAATATAATAATCACTACCATTTTTAAAGTAAATTATGCATTTTTATGCATATGCTTATGACATCAAGGTGCTAAAAATATAAATATCAATTTGGGTGTTAGACATCTAAATGTATCTAGTTGTGTTATGTATATATAAGTTTCACATAAGATAATTGATTAGTTGTTGTATATGGTTTGGAAAGAATATGGGCCAAGTTCTAGATGAGAAATAACTTTTGTTTTAAAAATCAATTATATGTGAATTAATTATACATGAATTAATTAGCGAAGCTTTTGGATAATTTAATATTATTAAATATATTTTTGGGCATTTGCATACATATCACGCAATTTTTACTTATTTACATATGTTTTAGAAGTGAAATATAACTTTTTGTGCAAATTTATAGTGTCAAAATGTTATAAATATAAATACCAAATTTTAGGTTTTAGATGCTAAATATATAAAATTTATATACTATGTATGCAAGTTTTTGCCTTTTTTTCTTGGTTATAAGTGTGGATATTTAATCGAAGCTTATATCATATTAATGCATGCTAGAAAATTTACGGTGGTATGGTAATGTATTATTGTTTGAGTAGTGTTTTATCGTTTTAATTTTGCACGAGAATTCAACATAAACTTAGATAAAAGAAAACAACTAGTAGTGATACCTGAAGTTTTTACAAAGGAACCTGTAAAGGGAAAAAATCACGGGGCCTAGTCCGGTTATAAAAATCAATTATAAGTTGATGATTACAAAGTCCCTTCGTCCTACATGCAAGAAAGGGTTACAAAGTTTCTAAATTACATTATTAACGTGCGAATGAACTTGTTGCAAGGAATGAACGATGATCGATGCTGATCGACGCGGCGACAAGTGGGGGCCGACGGTGGTTGGCGGTGTTCAACCACGACAGGAGAAATGCTGAACTTCAGCTTCTTTCTCAAGCCTCAGACTTTCTTACCTTTCTCAATAGAGCCCTATATTACTGAAATGATACGTATACTTGCATGAGAAACCACATTAAATAATAATATCAACTTTTAATAACTCAATTTATTTGTTTGGGAGCGGAATCAAGTTTCTGATGCTTTTATCAGGACTTACATTGTTGTGATAATCGACAAGGCGGATCACTTTTCACATATCACTTTTCACGGTTGCTTGTAGGAAAAGTCAAGTAGGAATGGATCAAATAGAAATAATTATTATCGGAGTGAAATGAACAAAAGGTTGTGGTGTCATAGACTTTAAGGCAAATCTCAATGTCCTCCCAAACTATCCTATTATTTGGCTTTACATCTTGAAATTGAAGTTAGTTGGTGTTTACTTCTGCCATCTATTCAAATTTAGGGCATGCATTTGCACAATATACTATCATGCAAATAGCTTAAGAAAATAGAAGGATTTATGTCATATCGAACGAGCAATCTCAGAGTCCTAAAAAGTTAGGGTTTATATTGCATAACACGATTGTGCAAAAGTTGAAAGGATAGTGTGAGGATTTATGACGTGTCAAACGAACTAACTCGAAGTCCTATGAGTTTGTGCTATTTAAAACTACATAAAGTTTAGTTGAAGATCGTCCGCGTTTCGTTGTTGGGTCTCATTATTTTCTAAAGTTGTCCTTCGTCCACAGAAACTGTGTTAGATAAAAATCATTACAACTCCCCCTATTATAAATGGCTCTCTGCAAGAAAGCTGTCCCTAACAAAATAGTGTGCATGTCATACACCCCAGTAAACACGTAAAAAGCAGCACACAAAATGATGCATAGCTAGAGCAACCAAACTAGCAGAGAAATATAGTTGTGACATCTAAAAAACTACCCAGCACCCTAGTACTAGCCTAAAACACCATCTAATGTATAGTGTCCTAGTCACAACATCTAAGTGTGTGCAGGGTGTAGGTAAAAGACCGCATATGCTTTGATGGGTTCGCCGTCCTTGGCCCCTTCTTAAGGATCCAAGGATTCGTAGTGCCACTAAATGCAAATTTTGTATGAACAAAAGGTTTAAAAAGGTTAACCTTATGTATGGTCTAAGCGATGCATTAGTTTCAAAATAAATTTTGAAATATGATGCATACATAATAAAAAATATTATTTTCTTATATTTTCTTAAAATATGTCCTAAGAAAGGAAAGGCCTAAGTAGTATATATTAGACTCATTGGAACATATGTGTGCTAGTCACGATGTGATAGCTGCTATGACCCATCAAGACATTCTCGCAGGGAATACTTGTTAACGTAGTATGACTATCAATGAGTCACTCTGGTAATGAGTTTGATCTATAATCAAGATGATTGGGAATGCATTGCAAATGAAAAGTGGTCTAGTACATTGCGCCACTCTAGCGAGGTAGCAACAGTCACGAGACTGCAAAAATTTGTCAAGTATGGCATATACTCATGACGAATGCGCCGACAGTGCGGAAGTGCAAATGCAAATCTTAAGTCATATGACACACATATGACATACCATGGTGGTGCCATGGTGACATAACTTGCACACCAAATGGATTCAGAGGCCTTTGGAGCGTCATACGTACTAGGTGGTAGTAATGTGCCCGAGTGGACACACATCATGTACTTGGAAAATTTAGAGGCCTTTAGAGCACAATGTGACATTCCTATGGCATGTGCAGATGATGCCATAGAAAAGGAGGTGATGTAATTCTCATTAGAGAGAACTGCAGACCGAGTAGGATTGATGTGCAAGCAACCCCCAAAGAGGGAATGCGAGTGTGTAAGGTAAATATGTAAGAACACAGACCCAAGTGCAAACTCCAAGCATGTGATTCATGGACATACATGATAATATGCAAGCAAACATACAAGAGTGGAGAGTGAAAGTGTGAACCACATGTGTCATGGTGCAAAGGGATATAGTGGTGTCGATTACTCGATTCAACAAAAAGCAGTCGATAGATCGATTAGGTCGATGGACATCGTCGATCAATCATGTCGAGAAACAATGGTTAATAGACCGATTTAGCTGGTGTTGGTGCCAATTGATCAGATCGACAGAAAGTAGTTGTTAGACCGATCGAGCCGGGGGCGGGGCCAAACGAGCACAGTCGACGAGAAGTGGTTGGTAGATTGATCGAGCTGGGGGCATTGTCGATCGTGTCAACAAGAAGTGGTCGATAGAACAATCGAACTGGTGGTGGCACGATCAATCATGTCGACGGAAAGGATATTCGATCGAACCTACGTAGGCCTTTGATCAACAAAACATGAAAAATTGACAGTTTAATCCACATTTTAAAGCCATGTTAAGAAAACAATCATATATGCAAATACATGCAAGCAAAAGAAACCCAATTGACATCAATGATGAAACATACTCATTCTAGCGATCTCACAGGAAGCCTAGGGTAGGATGTTAACAAGGTGTACCAACTGCTCGTTGCATGGGGTGACAAGACTATCAACCTCTATTTGCTCAGCATGAAAGATTTGCGTTAGAAAAACTTTTGTGGTTTAGGTAACGACAAGATCATGAGATCTACTGTTCTCTAAACCCAAGAAGTGGGTGTCATTCTCCTCATCATGAAATGAAATCCACGAAGCAAATGCAAGATTTTTGCAATCCATGCTATCAAATTTTGGATTAGAAAAGGGGTAGGTTTCACTCTTAGATTTATAGGCCAAATCTATGGGTATTTTCTATAGCACACAAACATCCTAACATAGCTCTTCTAGCATCCAGACCTAAAGGGCTTCCAGAATGAAAATGTAAGGCCTTTGAGAAATCTCACTAGCGCGGTGTTTATTGACACGTTCTCTGGAGTTGGCCTAGATCCTTCACGATGAGATGACAAAACTGTCGTTCTCCTTCTCGTAAGAGGTGAAGAAGCTCTCCTTGCTAGAGAAGACGAAGAAATCACAAATGTTATCCTTCTCTGAAGAAGCTCTCCTAAGCTCAACTCATGGAGAGTTGTTAGAGAGGAAGAAGAAGATGGTGGAGATGAGAGAAAACAAAAAGAAGAAGGAAGAAAATATGGAAGAACTGGCCTCCCTGACCTTCTCCTTGAGGAAGATGACAAATTTCCTACTCAAAGCTCCCTTGCTCCTTCTACTCAGCTGATCACAAATGGCCCGATCCCCCCACCTTGCTTCAACCCCAAGAGGAGATATCACGTGGTTCCCAATAAGAAATGACCATTTGCCTCTTTAGGAATGGTCATAGGTTACTCCCCCATGCTATTTTTGGGTGAATAGCCAAGAAAAAAGAATTATCTAGCAGTTAGACGATGTCATCTGCGAAAAATCAGAGACCACTGCGTGAAAATCGTGATACAGGTTGAACTTTCATGGCCACACCGAATATGGGTGTGGTCACACCCCTACTAAAAGTGTCACGATATAGGGGTCGGTGTGGTCACACCAAAGACCCGAGTAATTACATCGAGATCTCTACCTGAGTGGTGTGGCCACGCTGC